TACACGGTACATAGTAGTTTTCTAAACTGAAAACCACAGTGGCGCATCTATTTCTAATGTAGTGTAATAATTATCTATGACTTCTCCCCACAATCTGGTGACTCATATCTACTTAGGGCCGATCCCCACTATAATGGCCGATCCTCACTATAAAGTCATTCACAGTTCGTTCTCGGTCTAATCTTGGTTGGATAAAATATAAAAAATGTGTGCGTTCATACTATCCGTAACAGTCACGTTTCGCTCGACTCCCAGTCCAAACACGATCAGGTTCAAAGAAATTTTGTTTGAGCGAAATCGAACTTGTCACGACATAAACCGATAGTGTGAACAGTTTCGGCTAGAAACTTTCAGGTTGAGTCAGCTGTTACGCGCTGAAGCGATAAGCACATCAAATGCAATAAAGTTCAATACTTTAAGTATATTTTTCTTTTAATTACATAAATTTTTACTGTATCTGAATTATATTGTAGTTATAGTAATCCGTTTTAAAATTAGATTTAGTGCCTTTATATTCTAGAACTAAACACTGAAAAAGGATGTTAAATGAATTAGTCAGAACCTATTTTTTATATGGATGAAAAGTGTGCAAGTCGATATAACTGACACTGGTATCTTTTTAGCAAAGCGTATCACTCTTAATTTGAACCAAGTATCGAGATTTTTGAGTCGCTGGCATGGAGCCTAAAAGGGTCCGAGATCCAACTGTTTTAAGTTTACATTTGGGTTCATATGGTTTGCTTTGTATTGAATTGTATTGCAATGCAAGTAGGTAAGTACCTAGTGACATGATTAACAGAAATCAATTTTGTTAACATCAATATTATAAAAACAGAACAGCGTTTAAAATAATACAAGTATGATTTACAAATTCAAAATGCTGCATTGTTCACGTACAAACTCCTTTTTAATAATAATTATTCGACATTGTTTGGACGGAATAAGTGTTTCATTGCTTCTTCAATGTAAACATGTAACAATCAGTTTTTCTTTCGCTGTGGCCGTTCTCCTTGTGAGAGTCTATGTCATTTCTGTCTGGATATCCACGATGCTTGTTCCGAGAATAAAGTACTAGTTGGTGTTTTTCTTGACATTGTAGGGGCTTTCAATAATGTAGATCTGAACAAATTATCCTCAGTATTACTATTACTGCGGGTACCTGAAAAGGTTGTGAATTGGATTTTAAATTTTTTGAACTACAAAAAGATGTTTGTTAAGGTTAACAATCAGTTATTTGGTCCAAGATATTCTTGTAGGGGTGTACCACAAGATGGTGTATTGAGCTCACAGCTTTTTATCCTATTCATACATCAGCTCAATTCAACTCAGGGGTGTGAAGTTTCTAATCTGCAGTTTGCAGATGATTTGGTTGTTTATTGCTCTAATACAATTTTTTTAGGAGTGCAATCAGTCATCAATGTTGCTCTCCAAAGAATAAAGAACTACATATTTTGATAGCCTTGGGCTGGAGGTCAGCAATGAAAAAAATAAAGTTGTTGTCTTTTCAAACAATGGTATTAGAAATAGGAATGTAAATATTTTGTTCAATAATAATGTAATGTCTGTAGAGAGCTCTGTAAAGTTTTTAGGTATTTTTACAAAGAATTCTAGATGGAATAAGTATGCTGAAAATCTTAAGCTTTAAATGCTTGTAATGTTTTAAAATCTTCAACAGGCACATATTGGGGTGCTGATCCAAGGATTTTATTAACATTGTTTAAATCATTTTGATATGCTTGTTTTTTTGTTTTACTGGGGTTAGAACTATAGTGGAAAAATTAGAAAAGATACAAAAGAAATGTTTTCTTATTATAATGGGTGTCGTGCGAACTACTCTCATAGTGTCAAGGCAGGTGGAATGTAATATACCTCCATTAGCACTTTGGTTTAAATACTTACAATCAAAATTTTTTACAAGGTTGCTCTCCATTAGTAATCATCCACTTCTTGTTAAACTGCGGAACACTGTTAACAGGACTGCCAATATTAACTCATATTTGTTTCAAGGTTTTTCTGAAACAGAACAAATTTTTAATAAGACACAAAAAAAATTCTAGCATGGTATGGCCTTGTTACTCTGGGTTATATGAATCAAAAATTATTCAGATTAAAATTGTTGCCAAAAATCTTCTAAAGTATAAAAAAGACATTTATAGGGAACTTGATAGGTGGCAGGGATATCATCGGAATATACAGATGGGTCTAGGAACAATGAAGCAGTCTCTATAGCTGTCTATGATAGTCAGATCAAAAGTGGATTCGGTCATCAGCTGAATCCACTCACAAGCAAATACTCCGCTGAATCCATAGCTATGTATACAGCTATGGAGCACATTAAAATACACTCATCAAAAATGGATTATAATAACGGATAGTTTAAGTTTATTAATGGCACTACAAAATCCACAATTAAATACAAAAACTAACTAAATTATATATAAAATAAGAGAGCTGTATGACCTTTTGTCTCAAAACAAGCAAATAGTACTATTCTGGACACCAGCCCACATTGGTATGCACGGTAATGAGCAAGCAGACTATTTAGCTAAATTTATCACAAATCCGGCCCCCAAACAATCATGTCATAGCATTTTAAATTTCCCAATACCTTCTTCAGACGCTCTATCCCATTTCAAACTCACGTTACAGGAAGAATTTTACAACTTACGGCATCAGGTGGTAAGCCAAAGGGAAAATGGCTAGCCATAATAAAGAAAAAGGTCTCTTAACCCTGGTTTATCCGGGGTAGCGACTATAGCCATAGAAAGTATTATACCACAATCTGTCGTTTCACGTTTGCGTCTGGTAGTTTTGGTCACCTTTATAGGATTGGTGTTTTTGACTCTTCAACTTGTAGATATTGCAATAGTGCTGATATACATATTTTTTGATTGTTCACAGTTAAGTATTCAAAGGATGGCCCTTGTAGACCAACTTTTAAATATTTTCAAAACTGATGAAGATATCCCGCGCTCAATGCGAGCCATGCGCGACAAATTGACATTGACAAATGAATTGTACTATAAATAACATTACAAACTTACAAAGACTTGACATTGATAAAAGACGGAATGTAAAAAAACAAGAATTGTACAAAAAAGAATATTTTGAATAACTTCAAGGCTTCGGCCTTAAAATTAAAAAATATTTTAAGAAGTAATTTAATGGCTTGAGCGCTTTTAAATTAATGTAATTTTTACTATAAAGACTAGTTTTGAAAATAATGTATGCGTTCTTGCAGTCTTCTACTACTTTTGAACATTTATCATTCCAGTATCAAGGTACTTGACACCTCTTTCTACGACGGTTATTATAACTATTAGTTGTTATTACTATACATCTCTCACGTCCTCCGCCGAAACTAAATTTACCCTTTAACAGAGTCTGTGGTTGAAAAATAATATTATGTGTGATGGATTGAAAACCCGTTCTTAACAGAAATCCCATTTTTTATCTGCAAAATTAAATAAAAGAAATCAAGATAAATTCGTAAAAAATATTATTACGTTAAATAGAGCTATTTGTTATGTCTTATATTATTTTAAATTCTTTTTTAATATTAATAATGATTTTTATATTAATTTTACAATAAACATCTTGACAGCTATCTTAACCTATAAAGTTGATTTGATTTTATATTTTCAATAAAAATTTGACATCCATTACAGGACTGTTTTCTCAAAAGAGCCACCGTAAGTTGTCTCGTTAGATGGCACTGGGGTCTTGCAAACGGCGTATAGTAGAATAACTTTTTAGTTATGAATATTTATTTTAAAATGGAGAAGATAACTTTTGAAATCAACAGTATATTATAAAATAACCTTATGAGGGTGCATGGTAAATTAACTGTATTTAATTAATATATTCTGCTTTTCATTTTCATATATTCCACATATTTAAGACCCCAAGGAAGTTATTGCAAAACAATTTCTTTTAACTAGTTATATTAAAAAAATTGCTTGTTAAATGCTCCATCAGGATCAGTAATTGCACCACTTCTAAAAAAATATAAAATTTCACATAAATTTTTGTATTACTGACTTGTGCACACGAAATCATTTTAAAAATGTATGAAACGAGTGAAATAAAAATACTTATTGAGGTGATTATTTATTCAACTTAAAAGTTTCAGTAATACAGGTTTATGTATCTATAATAGGTATTATATATTTTTTGAAATTTTCTGTTATTTATAGGAAAAATTAAACACAAACAAAAAGGAATGTAATTTGATCCAAACGCCCTCTATTGGAAAATGGCAAAGTATATACATCATTTCGTATTAAAGTTTCATACAAAGTTCATAAATTAATTAATAGATGGCAGGTTTATTAACAATATCCAAAACTATTGATAACCTGGTATGTAGTATTTACGACAAACAAATACATATATGTGATTACAAGATTTAGTTAGTTTAATAAAATCGTAAATGACAGAAAAAACAAAGCACTCGACCTTACTACATTTGACGGAATCTCAAGCCAGCTAGCCTTTATAAAAACAATTGGTTTTTATTCTTCTGATAGTGAATATTCATGCCTTTTCCTGCTAGGATAATCAATAATATTTGATCACCCGAATACATACTAAAAAAACTTTAATTACTTATTAGACAAAATTTATACAATAAGTGTTATGATACAAATGGATTTTTTTGTTGTTTATGTAGGTGCAATCATTCTGACGTCTGACGCAGGTCTTCACCGGGCACGGGTGCTTCGGTTATTATACTTATGTCGGACGGGCAGGAGAGAGCTGCCATGAGTGCGGCGCTGCGATGGACTCGGCCCAGCACACCCTCGAGATGTGCCCGAGATGGGCTGTAGGGGCCTGCCTTTTTTTTTTGTTTACGGCCGGAAAACCTGCGAAAGACTTGGGCATGTGAGATTTCTTCTCACTAAAAAACCCCCCGACACTCCATCTTCTCCGCCAATACGTCGGAGTCACGGGAACAGTCATACGACCGCAACTCCGGCGACGGGTGACTGCTAGGTCATCTATGTAGCTGTCTCCTCTGATTTGGGGACGCCATTGCGTCCCACAGGCCGAACATAGGCCCCTAGGGGCTTGCCTAGGCCATGCCTAGCTATGCCGCCGTGCGCAGGAGTGCTTGCGCACCACGGTCCGCCCGGGGACTCGTTGTGATGAGGCGACGGTGTCCCCACACCACCACCTCGAGTACCCCGGCTAAGGCGGGACGTGACGGTCATCGGTGGTGTTGGACGCCTCGTAAAAGGAGATGTTGAAGAAAATCAAAAATTAAATCAAAGTTATTTAATTAAATCGCGACTAATTAAGGACTTGATTCAACATCTGATTTTTCACCGCCAATGAAGTGTTCACTGCATAAAACAAAAAGGGGCAGACACTCGTCGTTACTTTCAGCCGTGGAAGATCCAGGAGTCGTTAGTTCACTTTTAGAACATATCAAGCTCCTTCAGGTCAAACTGGTCGTTTTGACGCGGGAAGTATCCTCGTTTCGTCAGGAGCTTGCATCATTGAAAGGTACGTTATCCGAGGTATGCAAGCGAGTCGACAATGTCGAAGCGCGACTGTCTCAACTTGAGAATAAAACACCGTCCGTGCCTGAAAGTCACTTATTGGAAGACATTGCCAACCTGAAGACGGAACTCAACGAGCGCGAGAAGTCATGTCTATTGAACGACATTGAGATCTCAGGCATTACTGAACGGAATGGGGAGAATCTGAAACACGTAGTAGGCCTCATTGCGCGTAAGATTGCCATCACATTAGAAGAGCGCGACATTGTTTTGGTAGAACGCGCAGGACCGCGACCACCTTACAATGACACCAGCGAACTGTCACGATCACGCCCTATAGTAGTATTGGCGATGAAATACTGCGGGCGGCGCGCGTGCGCCGTGGGGCTGATACATCGGGCTTAGATATAGATAACGAGCCTAAACGATTTTACATCAATGAGAGCCTCACTAGAACAAATCGTACTCTTTATTATTATGCACGAGAGGTGGGCCGCCGCAATGGATGGCGTTATATATGGACTCGCAAGGGCCGGATCTATGCCCGGCTGAATAAGGAAACTGCTGCTCATAGGCTACGATCACAGCATGACATCCCGAAGGTTTTTGTAAAAACACAGGTTTGAGCTGTTAATTTCAGATTAGGAGTAAGAAGAATATTTTTGACTTACTAATTGTTTATTTTATAACAATAGCACCTAAAAAGGTGTATTCTCTAATTTCTTTGATACTTTTGTATTATTGTAATGTTAAGTGTATTTTTATTAATTATAAATATATTATCGTATATTTTTGCAATAGTGTCATACATAGCGGCCAGACAGTATATACATATTATATTTACATACAAATATGATATACAAGTAAAATGCCAATCCATAAAACGGCGGCGTTCCAAGGAAGTTTCAGGTTCTGCGCCACCAAGTGCTGGAATGAATTGCCTCCTGCTTTTCGTGACCTGAAATCGATAGGAAATTTTCGATATAAATATAAATTATATTTATTAGATTAACAAAAAAAAATCTTAAACCTAATATGTATTAATTGTTATAACTATTTGACGTTTTTAATTTTTACTTATTTAATCCGTTAGAGTTTTGTTTAGCTATTTATATTCTAATTATATTTATAATCACATATGTATGTATATTCTACATTAATTTTGACAAAATCATAATGTAAGTATGTGATTTTAATAATAATATAGCAAAAGGAATTAATTATAAAAAATTAACATATTATATAGGTATCTGTTTATTTGCGGCTCGATAGCAATAGGCAAGTATCACGGCAGCGCCTGCTGATCGCATGACCTTGGCTTCCGCGCTCAACTCCATTGTTTTTCCGTTTTCTTTTCCATAGGATGTCATCTTAACTGCCTTTTTTGCATATTTCCTATAGTTTTTATGAGTTATATCTTTAAGAGAAAATATAATAAGTTATTATGGGATTTTTCGGAGTCATATGTACTTTCTGAGAGTATTTATACACCACTGACATACGGTGAAGGAAAACATCGTGAGGAAACCTGGACTTATAGTTTCACAATTATAAGTTTGAAATCACCAACCCGTCTTGAGCAAGCGTGGTGATTAATGCTCAAACCTTCTCCATGTGAGAAAAAGGCTTTGCTCAGCAGTGGGCGCTGATAGGCTGATGACGATTATGTTTATAATGTTGGTTTTTGCTAAATTAAAATGCCTTTGTTTTATACTAATTTCATATTATAAAGAGTTATGTATATCTATGACGTATTTAATAGAAATATGTCTTGTCTTATATTTGCCTAGTCCAACCGTTTATTAAAAACACAATATCACAATTTATTTTTTAGTCACTGTTGTGTATTTTATCGTGTTCGTTTTGAGTACATTTTGATTAAATAAACAAGATGCTTGTGGTGTTAGCCTTTAGACGCTGCGGGCTGCACTGAGCGAGCATTGAACAGATGTAATACATATATTATTATCTATATGTTACGCCCTGCTCCCGCGCGCTCAACCTTGAAACTGAAAATCAGTGTAGAAACAACATTGCTTCTATTTTTCACTGAGTGGTTCTCCTTTTGGTTAGATTACACTGCTGCACACTTATCATTATTGTTATTGATTTTTATTTTGTTGTTTGTTTTGTAGTGGTGTAATCTTTTAGCCAAAAAAGTTTAATATTATTATTATATGTTAGTTTCATTTCTTTCATGTTTATATTAAAATGTTTTCGTTTATTTGAGTGATTTTAATTATTTTGAATAGTTTTATACTATAATTTGCAAATATTTGTTTAGTTTATTGTAAAGAAGTAATACTTAGTCTGTATATATGTGTTTCGGTGGAGAGATGGTGAAAAACCGTACAAAAAGGATGCCGGTGACTCCTTGCCTTCCACCACAAGCAGCGATTCCTATTGCGAGGATTCGCCAGGATTGCAGGAAGCAAATGCCTTCGCTCAATTTAAGGTCGCTGATTATTGTCGCCGATACCCTGAAGATGCGGAAGCCAAGTCTGAATTCATAGCATTTGTCGAAAGGTAATAGGTAAAGGTAATCTTATATCTTTAAATGAGCAATTCTTATATTCCGATTATTTACAAATATATATTATATATATATATTTGTAAATAATCGGAATCGGCTCCAACGATTTTCATGTATACAGGAGGTTTCGGGGCGATTAATCGGTCTAGCTGGAAATCATTTTTCAAAATGTTATTTTATTTAAAAAAAGAACAAAAAGGAGTCGTTTAAAATATGACTCTTCCTGACGTCTATTGGCGAATAGTAATACTACTTTTTGCTAATTGCTTTAACGACACAATAGCAGATGGCGTTGTTAAGTACCAGGAAGTCAATGAGTGTTTGTTTTTAGGTAGGACTAAAGAATTAATTGTTGATATATATTGTTTTGTCTTCTTAACGTGTTCACTTAAAAATGCCTAATCAAAATTTAAAAAAAAAAAACAAAATAAATACTAATAATTCCTAAATACCAAGCAAAGCTCGGTAACCAGGTATTAGGTCATAATGAGTAAAGTATAAGAGAAAATAACACCTTCACACTGCAACCTACTCAGAGCGTAGTAATTACTTTTGCGTCTGCTACGTTATTGCCGGACTATGTTCACATTAAGATATGGCGCCTGCCTTTCTCCACATATGTCCCACCTATAAAACAGTGTTTTAAATGTTTAAGTTATGATCATCTGGCTAAGTTTTGTAAAAATTCACCGCGATGCTCCATATGCACAGAGGGGCATTCTTTCAAAGAATGCAAGGTTAACATTGAAAAAGCTAAGTGCATTAATTGTAATGGCAATCACATCGCCATCTCTAGAAAGTGCCCTATGAGGCAAAAGAAAATCACAAATAGTAAACCCGTCATATGCTGACACTTAAAAAGATTCATTAAATTTTCCCTCCCTTAATAAAAAATTAAATACTCAAAAAGTAATCCAAGCGATACTATCAAATTCTGAAGCAATGACTCTATTAATAAAATCTATAGTAAAAGTTATAACTTTAAATAAAACTCAAATATAAGTATTAGTTCACAATTTATTAGCTCAGCTATTAAAGAAACCATCCAGGATAAAAATAGCAAAGGTCACATTCAACCACCAAATCTTAAATATTGTACAGTGGAACGCTCAAAATCTGTTAAGTAACAGACTTGAGTTTCAAATTTTTTTTATACCAAAATAATATACTTACATGTAGCTCTTATTTCAGAAACTTGGCTCAAGCCTAGCATTCAATTTAATTTACGTGGTTATACCATTATTAGGAATGACTGCGGTAATGATCATAATGGCGTAGCAATATTAATTTAAAAAGGTATACATTTCTCTAAACTAGATACTTTTAATGATGATTCGTTACAAAATGTAGTAATTGTTTGATATTAAAAGTATACTATTTGCGCTGTAGTATGATGCGGGTGACAGTTTCAGACAGTATCGTTTCGTTTCACTCTTGAAAGTTGCCGCGATTTACAAATTATTACTTAGTATTTCAGCTGTACCACATTCGTAATAAATTAAATAATTAATTACTGAAGTAGTTTAAATTAAACCAAACCAGAATGTTCTAGTGTACAAAAATAATCTAATGGAAATAAAAATTAAGCAAAGTATTATGCGTTTAACGTAATACCATAGACGTATTTAGTGATGGGATGTACTGCTACAGTGGATAGTCGATGTTTTTTTTATAATAAAAAATATACATATATTGGCTGTAGTTCAATTATTATTGTAAAAAGTCTATAATTATATTAATGAAACAACAGATCTTATATGAAAATGATTTTATTCGTCTAAACTCATATCAGATTACTCATACTCGATTTTAATTATTTTATATAAGTACTATATTATTTATACTGCGAGTAACGTTAATGATAAAAATGAATTACGCAACATCACTAGTCATATGGTACTGACAGATATCAACGTCATATAGACAAATGTCACCCGCACCAAGCTACAGCGCAAATAGTATAATTGATTTTAACGCCCATCATACATTTTGGGGTTGCAGTCGCATAGATTCTCGGGGCAAAGTTATAATGGATTCCATGGATGACCATGACTTAATTTCGCGAGTATTTATTTAATTAAAATTATTATTTTTTTCGTATTACTTTATGTACATATTTTATTATTTTAAAAACTAGATACTACCGAAATTCCGATTACTTTGCAGTAACCGTGATTACGGGCGGACGAGATGGGACATGATATGAGATGAGAGAACCTTCAGGGGCAGGACAGGATTGACGATAGCCTTATTAGTATTTTTTTCTGACTATAGCATGTTCCTTTGTCTAATTTAATAGATTTGAAAGTCTTATTGAATTTAATAGATTAGAAAGTAGTATTATGAACTTATGTAAATTTTATTAGAAGAAAACAAAAAGGCTCGTCTAGGTTTTCTTAATCTGAAGTTTGAAAAAATAAAGCAGTTTATTCGTCTCGCGCTTCTCAAATTCCAAAACGGAAAGTTATTTGTAATCAGGCGTTCCTTCAGCTACCAAATTAAAAGTTCGCATGTAATTAGTTAAAAGTATTCTGATACGTTTCTTGCGAGCAATGAATATGAGACCAACTCGTAATTGAGGTAAATAACTAAGAACTCAAATGATTAAACAGACTTTCTGAACGCTAAATACACTTCAATTTATGTCACAACAGATTTAATTTAGATCTCTGCCTTGGTGATGGACATATAAAGATTTACAATTTAAAAAAATTATTGTTATAAATTTATGTAGAATTTTGTTTGTACAGTTTTAATGTAATAACAGATTTCAATGCATATTTACAAAGCATATAAATAAAAATATATATAAGTACGTAACATTTTAACTTCTTCAACCGTGCCATCTATTAAGAAAATTCCAAATTAGAAA